CTGACTATGAAATTTAACACAGCTCCAGATGTTGGTAGTGAAGATTTCAGCAACAGTCGTGCCATTGAATGTTAAGGGGAATTATTCAATTCTCTCTTGTTGGAGATTGTCTTTCCTTGGCACTTATGTGGCGCAAATTTTGCTTTTCACTTAACAGCCCAAGCTTGGATGTTGCCAAGTCATGCTGCATATGGAGACAGGTTGCTTCAGCACCTGAGGAGTTGTGAATAATTTGGAACATTGTGCTTCTGATATTAAGATGGAGTGCAGGTCACTGATGAAGTTTCCAAAGGTGGTTGGGCCTAGGGCACTCATCTGAGGTGATAGTGACTACATTGGTAGCCTAGAATTGAACTGATTAACTTTCAACGAACATAACCATTTTCTTTTGTGCTAAGTATTACTCCAACTAATGGAATGCTTTCCCTGACTCTCATTGACTTCAGTTTTGCTAGGGCTTCTCAATGCCATATTTAGTTCAATGATGCCCTGATGTCAAAGGCCTTATTTCTGGAATTCAGCTCTTTATCCATTTTTGGACCAAGGATGTAATAAGATCAGGAGCTGAGTGGCCCTGCTAGAACCCAAACTGAGCATCCGTGAGCTGGTTATTGCTGAACAAATGGTACTTGATAGCACTATTGATAATCTCTTCCAATATTTTACTAATGACTGGTCTGATGACTGGGACTGCCAAATCTGTCAAGGAACTATCAAAGCTGTCCAAAGATGTGCGGTGTTAAAAAAAAAGCGAGCTATTTCAGCAGTCTTGTTGACATAAGCCATTATAGGATTTGTGCTGCATGTTTGATTTTTCAAATTATCATTTTTACAATGGGATGTCTATCATGCAAACATTTTGATAGACACCTCCAAATACACATAGAACAGAAATATTTACAAACAAGATTGGAGAAGGGAATTTTGTTTAGATTAATGAAGATACTTTTTTCAACAGTGACATTATATACAGGCTGATAGCTTGATTTTCTGTCAGTATGCTTCCTGAGGTATGCGAATGGTAGATACTGGGCAAGATGGCATAGAGAGAGAAGGACAATGGTTGGTGGATAGGGAATATGAGTTGCATATGGACATTGAAGGGCATGAGACAGGTGAGGGCATCAGCTTATGAGGGGCCATGGGATGAGTACAGAGATATGGGTTGACATGAAGAGAGTGGGGTCTTGAAGGTGGATATATGGAATTAAGTGAAATGGATGGAGCCTGGAGAATGAAAGGAGTGAGAAGGTGACAGCAGAACTAATATTTCATATTTTAACTTTATATTTAAACTGTGAACACATTGCCAGAATTTCCAATTCAACTTGACTCAGCAATCAGCAGTCTTTTCCCATGTTGGCCATCCTGACTCCCAATCCAGCCCATCTCCCCAGACTAAAAACGGGAAATTCAAACAGCCATTTATAAAAGTCAGGTCAAGGGAAATGGTGTTTTACCAATCTCTGTGCACCCAACTCTTGAATAAAAATATGGACTAATACGTGAAGCTTTGCTATAGTAAACTGCTCTGCATTTTAAAGTATCTTAGGATATCGAGAAAAGGCATAGAAAGTATTCAAAAAGGAGAAAGTTGACGAAATTTGAATGGAGCTACAATGCCACCTAGTGACACGGAGCCATGAAATCAAAAATCAAATTGCACTGGTACTGAAAATTTGAAAGCTGAAAATCTGGGAAACACTTAGCAGGGTAGGTAGCATTTGTGGAGACAAGAATAAGGCGTGATCCTTCATTGGAAACAGGTGGCATTATGGTTAATAAGGAAGTACAGGGCCAAGGAAGTGATGGTGTAAAATAAGTAACAATGTACATGAAAAGTTAGAAAAAGCAAATAAAGTAATTTGTTGAAAACAATGGCTTGATTAGGATGTGATTACAGCACAACACAAAAGGAAGACAATGAGAAATTGTAGACCTACATGAGACTGACAGAATAGCAGGTTAATAAAACAAACAGATCATGTCAAAACCAACAAGACTGAGCAGGTTTCACTGGCCAGGGAATAGGGTTGAAGGTAAAATTACAGAGTCACTGAGGTTGTAGGCTATCACCTTTACCGAGAATCTCTCACACCCTCCCTAATTGTGAAGTACTGGCACATCTGACACCATTGTTTAACAGAAAACTGAAGTATGATTAAAGTCTGAAGTTGTTAAAGTCACTTATAGTGGTTGGCTGCTAAATGCCTAACAGAAGAACAAATTCATCTCCCTCAATGTGGCATTGAGCTTCATTGAAATAAGTACAAAGGTAGAGAGGTTAGAGTGGAGTAAGATAAATAAGGTGACAAACCACCAGGAACTCTCAGAATTGTTGTCATCTATTCAACTCCTTCTTCTGATTTGGGTGTCACTGGTATGACTATAATTTATTTCAACCCTTGGTTTTATTTGAGAAGTATTGGTGGGTCTTTTGAATTTTTTTTTGCTGCCCTGAGGTAAAGGTTCTCTCACAATACCAATAATAAGGGAGTTCCAAGACATAGAACGTGTATCAACAAAGGACTAACTATATCTGTCCATCAGAATAGTGCGGAACATGCCAATGAGTTTCGACATAATTGCTGACATTGCCCTTCAGGTGACCCAACCACAGTTTGGTACTGCTGAAGAAATCCATGGTACCTTAGCAGTTAGCACTGCTGCCTCACAGTGCCAGAAACCCAGGTTCAATTCCACCCTCAGGTGACTGTCTGTGTGGCGTTTGCACATTCTCCCTGTGTCTGTGTGGGTTTCCTCTGGGTGCTCTGGTTTCCTTCCATAGTCCGAAGATGTGCAGGCTAGGTGGATTGGCCATGCTAAATTGCCCATGGTGTTCAGGGATGTGTAGATTAGATGGGTCTGGGTGGGATGCACTGAGAGCCAGTGTGGACTTGATGGGCCAAAGGGCTGTTTCCACACTGTAGAGATTCTATGATTCCAAATTATTGCATGTATTTAGTAGACAGCACAAAGTACATAAGGGTGGAAGGATTTAAGCAAGTGAGCAAAGTGCCAGTCAAGTGAGCAGACTGCTTTATTCTTAAATGCTCTTGCAGCTGCGCCAATCCAGTCCTAGTCCTGACTTGTTGGTAGAAAGGCAAAAAAGAAAACAGATTGCTATAGAGTGCCCAACCTCTGATTTGTTCAACTAGCCACATGGCTGGCTCAGTTTCTGGTCAATGGTGTGCCCAGTTTGTTAATGATCACAGTTTTGTTTTTATACTAGATTTAACATTTGAGGGAATTTAAAATCTCTGATTGGGTTTCATGAATGCGAGTGTTTTCACAGATGAAGGATGTATGAATGAGAATTGTCTTAAATTGTCAGCAGTTTGCTTTTTTCCATTGGGGGTGCAGAAGTTAGGATTGGGGAACTAATGGCTGAGAGGCTGCAATAGTTAGAAGGGCTAGAAACTGCTACAATAACTGAATTGAAGTCTGACAGAAGTGAGGTAGTCTTTTGAAACTTCCAACTGCTTCCTGAATAGGTGGACCTGACTATCCTGTTCCCTAGATGCCAGAGCAAATATTGAGTGTAGGGGTCCTTTAAACTTGAGCTACCTACCTCAAAAGTAAGTTAAAAATACATTAAAAAGGGTTTCACCCAGAACATTATCACCCAAAACATAACAATGTTAAAGATCAATTGACCAGGGAAAGCCATCAAAGCAGCCAGCACAAAATATTCTCTCCTGGAATATAATATGCAAGAAAGGGTTGCATGTTTGATATTACTTTCTTAAAACATTTGATATTCATTAGTTCCAGTTTTTTTTCAACTAGAATTTCTTAAGAGTGATTTTTGACTTCCAGAATGAATGTCCCTGATGCCAACAGAAATTTAGCAGAGAATACCTTGGAAAAAATTCTATGTCAAAATAGTTTATTTCTAATGAGAGTTATAAAAATAGCTACTTTTTTTTGTTTTATTATCAGTATGAAATACCTTAAATGTCTGGAAGTGTTTCAAATTACAATTGATTGCCCTTAAAATGATTGTTACTTCAACAAATATCACACTCACGCAGCACAATGACAATACACAATGTACAGACAATACAACATCACTTCCTACCTACTAGCCTCATCCCCACCTCCTTGACCTGTCCAAGTTCCCTCCCACCTACCCACCCCTCCCTCCTCACTGACCAACCCCCATCCAAACTCCATATCTACACTCATCTGTACTGGCTTACTGTCCGTTTTCTCTCCACCTATCTGCTCCACTATCCACCTTCTATCATCGCCCCCCCCCACCTCTCTATTTATTTCAGAGCCCCCTTCCCCTCCCCCATTTCTGAAGAAGGGTCCAGACCCGAAACATCAGCTTTCCTGCTCCTCTGATGCTGCCTGGCCTGCTGTGTTCATCTAGCTCCACACCTTGTTATCACAAACTAAATGGAGATTTTTTTGTCTATTATGGGAACGTTAAAAGTGTTGGGCTTAATTGTCTTGTAAACCCTGAGGATAAACTGAAATGGACAGATTGTTCCTTTCCTGCAATTGTTCCCACTTTATCTGCTCCCAGAAAGGGTGACTGAATAGTGTGATTTTTTTTATCACAAAGTCTGCTCTTGGGGCATTTTTGGTTAGTTCAGTGGTACTTAAAAAGAGACAAACAAATTTGTGATAATCTCTGATGCAACATTCTAAACTATATTTCATTCTCCATCATGACAATTCTAACATCTCAAGGTTTAGCTATTTAATTAACTCATCGGAAATACATTTGCAAATAGCCAGCTAGATGTTTGCCATGCAAAAAACAATCCCATTGTTGAAAATTCTCCAAAGGTACTGAAAATACCATACTTAAAAGTTTTGTTTGTTTAAAGGTAAGCAGAAATGTAGGAGAGTCAAGGCTTAGAGATTCCCATGCTATGTTGCAGTGAATTTTAATATAATGGGCAAATAATTTCAGTTTTTCTTGATTGTACCTAACCAATAATTTTGAAAGGCTGATTCACACAAATATTTTTAAGTTTCGTACTTACTTATTGTTACCTTGTCTAGTTCACCCAGCATGATATTGTTGGGTGTAAGATCTCTGTGGACAATTCTTTTTTCTTTGTGCAAATAACGCAATGCAAGGCATATCTGAAAAACAAAAATTGACCAGAATTATTTCTCAGAAAAAGAATTCCTTCAAAGGCACAGATTTTGTAGATGTAATGGCAGTGAAACTGCCCACATTTGCATTCATTACCACTGGAAACTGACAGCAGACACAACTTCCTGTGTTTGCACAAGCACAGTGAAATGTAGCTATTCAAAACCTGGCAGTGATTCCATGCTACTTTATAGGGTGTATTGTCCCTCAGATATATTAGGACATGTGAAAATTTCCTTTTCATGCTATATTACTAATAAAAAGCCCAAATAAATTCTGCCTTCTTCCTGAGCTGTATCTTGGTTTTGAATGGAGCATGTTCATGAATTTATTGTAAAAATTCTCTGGCTCCACAAAACCAATTTTAAGCTGTGCCAGATGTCAAATGTCAAATTTCTCCATTATGATAAAAGTTTCATATTTAAAATATAACAAAAAATAATCAAGTGGCAGCACTTGCTGGATGCCTGGAGAATCCTTGAGGTTGTCGCGTGTTACAAATATACCCCAAATAAGGTGAAATCTACACCAGAGAGATCAAAAGATTTTTGTGGGCAGCAGCTTTTCATCAGTTCTACCCAAGTTCTATTAGTTTGCCACTGATACAAAATCTTGGACAATGTTATATAAAGGTTAAAATTAAAGACAGTGTGAGTAGAGTTTCCATAAATATACATTTAAGACCTGAACACCAGAATTCTATGATAAAGCTAAGGACTGGTAGCCTTGATTTTAAAGTACGTAATGTGTAAGATCTCAAGAACATGCCAAGACAATAAAACCACAAGATTCCAGTGTTTTGAACAAGCAAAACCAAACTGTATTATACAGAGTCAGAATAGCAAAACAACCTACAATAGCTGTACATCTGGTATTCTGAAATCCAGAAATAATATGAGCTAAGTATAGATAATATTGCAAATAAAGCTAACATAGCACTTGCCTTCCTAGTTGCTTACTGTTACTGTATGTCATCTTTCTGTGATACATACACGTGAATGCCCAAGCTCCTCTGAATACAAATATTTTCCAGTATGTTACCAATCAAAAAGTATTTTGCTTTTCAATTGTTTCCAACAAAGTGGACAAACTCACACTTCACAATGCTATTTCCATTGGCTACGAACTTGCTCATTCACTAACCTGGTCACAATTGCTCTGCAGCCATTTTAAATTGTGCTCACTGTTTTTTTAATCTAACTCTGTATCATCAGGAATTCTGGGTACATTACCCTCAGCCTACTCATTAAAATCATTAATACAGATTGCATGAACAAACAGGAGTGTAAACAATGAGTGTCAGGTAACTAGCTTTTAAAAGGTCTGAAATCCTTCCACAACCCTTGGTTTTGAAAACATCCTTTTCCCATTTCAGTTCATAATCAAAAATGCAAAAGAACAGTTTGTACTTGCTTCCACCCTTAAGAAAGTGAAACACAATTTAAAGAATGCATTTCATCTCAAAATAAGTGATACACACAATAAAAGTCAAGACTTACATCCACTCATTCTTCCTTTTACTGCCTGATAGAATCAAAGCAAATCTTGAACCTTAAACTTACTTCAACATTTTATACTCTGAACACCATTTTAGCATTACATTATGTTTTCCAGCAACCTTAAATAGCCCTTACATTAAACGGTTGCAGCAAAAGAGTCTGTCTGAATAGTCCCATATTCTGTATTTTAAATTTTTCAATGAAGGCCTGTAAATTATGATCAGTGTCAATTAGAATCTCCTTGTTAACATGTTGAGCATAAACTTCAAATTGTTGAACAGCCAACAACAATCCCAAAGTCTATTTTTCCATAATAGAAGTAACTCTTCTGGTACTGGTTTAGTTTCTTTGAGAATTAGCCCTCTGGCTTCTATATTACTGACTCATCATCCAGCAACAAGACTTCACCCACCACAAGTCACCAGTGTCAATCATAATTGTGAAAGGTCTGGAAAAATCAGGGGCAGCCAACACTGGTGCATTTATCAGATTATCTCCAGCTTCTTGAAAACTGTCTGGCATTCTGCTGACCATAATACCTTTGTTTGTTTCTTGAACAAGTTTGTTAAAGGTGCTGAACTGCAATTGATGCTATTGCGCTGAAATTGTGCACAATTTTCCAGTAAAACCCACACATCCCTAAGATCTCATGAATTTTTCATGTAGTTTTACTAGTCCTTGGTAGTCCATTGTAGCCCTTGGTAACACTTGTCCTTGTCCTACAATGTCCCAGGAAAATCACTCTTGCTGTTCCAAATTCAAATTTGGCTAAATTTATTACTAAGGCAACTAACTATAATTACTTAAACAGGTTTCTAATTGTCTTATGCTCTTCTCATGATGATACACCATAGCAACTTCTAAATAAACTACAAACGACAAGCCTCAGCAATGTCTTGATTCATAAGCCTTTGGAATGTAGCTGGGGAATTCTTTAACCCAAATGGCATCATTCAACAAGAGTATAGTACATTTGATGTAGCAAAAGCAGATATTTATTTAGCCCATGATGTTAATGGCACTTGCCAGTACCCCTTCAATAGATCAATCTTAGAAAGGAATGAGGCACTGGCAACCCTATAGATGCACTCTTCTAATCGTGGAATTGGGTATGTCTCTGTCTTCATGACAGCATTTACACTTCTATAATCTATACAGAATCTAGTTAATCAATCCAATTTAGGAACTAATACTACTGGTGAATTTCAGATGCTTTGAGTAGGTTCAATCGAGTGGTTTTCCAGCATGTATTAAATCTTTCTTTCCAGTTGAGCTCAATTTTCTGGGCTCAACTGATAAAGATTCTGTTTTATTAGTCATGACTCTCTTCTGTCCACATCATGCCTAGCTAGATACACTATCCAAGTGTATCACTACATATTACCGAAAGTCTCTAAGTAGTCTTACAAGAGCATCCTGTTGTTCTTTCCCTAACTATGAATATTTCCTAATATTTCAGTGTTAGCTACTCGAATTGCAAGAGGTTCACTGTCTAGCTTTCCTTCTACCACATTCTTATTGTTGCTGTCATCTTCTACCTGACCCACTTGCTCCTCCTTGTCTTCTTCCCAATTCTTCTTTCATCGATCAGGTGTACTTATCAGTTAAGTCACTTCATTAACCCTCCTAATTTACTTTGTATGGAGCAGTGAATTTTGCTTTCAAAGGTTCACTTTGCAAAGGCATCAATATCAATACTTCATCTCCTGTTTGAAACATTCAACTTGCTGATAGTTTATCTGCTCATTCTTTCATTTTCACTAGTGAGACTTTGAAATGCTTGTGCTAGCCTACCAGCTCCTGAGTCTTTGTAGGAACATAGATACATAGTCCAACATTGAGGATTCATCTTTCTGGTTCAAGATCTTCTTCCAAATCAATTATAATGGACCTCTAATCTCATGACCATAAATCAATTCAAATTGACTAAACCCAGAAGATTCATTTGGCAGAGATAGGAGGAACTGCAGATGCCGGAGAATCTGAGATAACAAGGTGTAGAGCTGGATGAACACAGCAGGCCAAACAGCATCAGAGGAGCAGGAAGGCTGACGTTTCGGGCCCAGACCCTTCTTCAGAAAAGGGGGAGGGGAAGGGGGTTCTGAAATAAATAGGGAGAGAGGGGGAGGCGGATAGAAGATGGATAGAGGAGAAGATAGGTGGAGAGGAGACAGACCGGTCAAAGAGGCGGGGATGGAGCCAGTAAAGGTGAGTGTAGGTGGGGAGGTAGGGAGGAGATAGGTCAGTCCAGGGAGGACGGACAGGTCAAAGGGACGGGATGAGGTTAGTAGGTAGGAGATGGGGGTGGGGCTTGAGGTGAGAGGAGGGGATAGGTGGGAGGAAGGACAGGTTAGAGAGGTGGGGATGAGCTGGGCTAGTTTTGGGATGCGGTAGGGGGAGGGGAGATTTTGAAGCTTGTGAAATCCACATTGATACCATTGGGCTGCCGGATTCCCAAGCGGAATATGAGTTGCTGTTCCTGCAACCTTTGGGTAGCATCGTTGTGGCACTGCAGGAGGCCCGGGATGGACATGTCGTCTGCGGAATGGGAGGGGGAGTTGAAATGGTTCGCGACTGGGAGGTGCAGTTGTTTAGTGCGAACCGAGCGTAGGTGTTCTGCAAAGCGGTCCCCGAGCCTCCGCTTGGTTACCCCGATGTAGAGGAGGCCACAACGGGAACAGCGGATGCAGTATAACACATTAGCAGATGTGCAGGTGAACATCTGCTTGATGTGGAAAGTCTTCTTGGGGCCTGGGATGGGGGTGAGTGGGGAGGTGTAGGGGCAGGTGTAGCACTTCCTGCGGTTGCAGGGAAAAGTGCCGGGTGTGGTGGGGCTGGAGGGGAGTGTGGAGCGGACAAGGGAGTCACGGAGAGAGTGGTCCCTCTGGAAAGCAGATAAGGGTGGGGAGGGAAAAATGTCTTTGGTGGTGGGGTCGGATTGCAGATGGCGGAAGTGTCGGAGGATGATGCGTTGGATCCGGACGTTGGTGGGGTGGTACGTGAGGACGAGGGGGATTCTGTTTTGGTTGTTATTGTGGGGAGGGGGTGTGAGGGATGAGTTGCTGGAAATGCGGGAGACATGGTCGAGGACGTTCTCGACCACTGAGTGGGGGAAGTTGCGATCCTTGAAAAACGAGGACATCTGAGATGTACGGGAGTGGAATGCCTCATCCTGGGAGCAGATGCGGCGGAGGCGAAGTAATTGGGAATAGGGGATGGCATTTTTGTAGGAAGGTGGGTGGGAGGAGGTGTATTCTAGGTAGCTGTGGGAGTCGGTGGGCTTGAAATGGATATCGGTTTCTGGGTGGTTGCCGGAGATGGAGACAGAGAGGTCCAGGAAGGTGAGAGAGGTATTAGAGATGGTCCAGGTGAACTTAAGGTTGGGGTGGAAGGTGTTGGTGAAGTGGATGAACTGTTCGAGCTCCTCGTGGGAGCACGAGGCGGCGCCGATACAGTCATCAATGTAACGGAGGAAGAGGTGGGGTTTA